TTCTGAGCTGTATATCTAAAGTTGCAGAACGCGTAATCTTCAAAAGACTTTTTGACCATCTCATTGTGAACAATTTATTTTATAACCTCCAAAGTGGCTTTTTGCCAGGTCACAGCACCCAGGCACAGCTTTTAAGTATAATTGATGTCATAACTAATGAAATTGAAAATGGGGCCAATGTAAGGGGGATTTATCTTGACATTTCGGCCGCCTTTGATTCAATGCCCCATGGGCTACTATTAAAAAAACTGAAAATGTATGGTTTTGGTCATAACATCATAGAATTAATGAAATCTTACCTATCAAATAGACAAGTAAAAGTTGTATTGGATGGCCATGAGTCTGAACTATCTGAGATGAACCATATAAACGCAGGAGTACCTCAAGGCTCCATATTAGGCCCCCTCCTGTTCTTAATTTATATCAATGATCTACCTGATAACTTAAATACCAAATGTTTTATATATGCAGACGACACGTCACTTTACCAATCCTTCACAGCTGAAACAGCAGCTGCTAAGAATAATGAATTACAAGAGGATCTAAATAAAATTCTCTTATGGTCAAATACATGGAAATTAAACTTCAAAGCTAGTAAAAGTAAAGATATGACTTTTTTTAATCCAAGAAAGCGCGAAATTTTGACCCCAGATCTTTCCCTTGGTAATGACAAGTTACCAAGAGTAAACAATCACAAGCACTTGGGGTTGATTTTGGACAAAAATCTCACTTTTGACTATCACATTACTGAACTTGTAGCAAGAATAGATAAACTCATAAATCCGTTAAAAGTCTTCAGTAAGAAAATAAGTGGAAAACACCTTGAAACAATTTTTAAGTCTTTTATTTTGCCACTCTTTGATTATTGTGATATTCTTTACGGATGTGCAAATTTGACAAAACTACAACTTTTAGACCGCCTTTACTATAAAGCTGCACTTATTTGTTCAGGTGCCATGCATGGAACATCAACCACAAAAGTGTTGAATACTTTAAATTGGCCCACACTCTCAAATAGACGTCAATATCATAGAGCTACCTTTATGTATAGAGCTCACAACAATTTGCTGCCTTCTTATGTTACTGAGATATTTGAACCACTAAAAAGAAATCAAACACATGTACTAAGACACCAACTTGACTATATTTTACCAGTTAAATCCAAATTTTATGAAAGATCTTGTATCTCAAAAACAATATCAGAATGGAATCTACTGCCATCTGATATAAAGAACTCATCTAGCTTAAGCATATTTAAATCAAGCCTAAAAAGAAATATTTTTAACGAAACTGTCATTAACTCATCAGAACTGTCCATCTCAAGAAACCAAGAAATTATATTTAACAGAGTACGATGTGATTTCATTTTCAAGGCTCACCTTTACTCGCATAACTTTACCAATGTAAATTCCCCCATATGCTCATGTGGTATTAACAGTGAAACAACCAGCCATGTGATTTTTCGATGTAACTTGAGATTAACATTCTGGACTGAATTAGAAAACCAACTAAAAAATATGAATATACAATACTCCCGTAAATATAAGACACAACGTGATAAACTTTCTCTGATCCTCAATGGTGATAAAACATTAAGTAGAGCTGAGAATCTGATTGTTTTAAAGTGCAGTGCCATTTTCTTCGAGCGATGTGTAAATGTCTGAAATCCTCCACAAAACAACTTTTATCTTATTGTATCTCATTTATTTTAATCAAATATTATTGATTGAATACATTGTATATTGTAATTGTAGAACGTGGCTAATAATGCTAAAAGCACAGCCACTTACACTGTATTATTGTATGTATTCTTTGTACAAATGATTAATTTAATAATAAAAAAAAAAAAAAAAAAATATCTGCACGAGCGAGCGTAGCGAGATGTTCTTTTTATTCCATAATAAGTCATCATCAGAATCGTCGGAAATTAAGTGATTTAATTCGAATTTTCCAAATGATCCGGCGATGTTGACACCTAGCCTCGTTTTGAGTCTAAAGTAGCAAAAATCCATAAACCATCGCAGACGGCGCCGTATGTCATGGCTAAAAACCGTATGCTATGGTTATAAGTGAAAATTTGTCAAAAATATCATATTTAACCACTGATTACAAAAATACCGTTTTTATTTTCGCATGTTATCCTATGAATATCATGCTAACTATGGAATAACAAATCTTACCTCGTTCATATTTTAGGTTAAATCATATCTGCATCTAAAGTCTACTGTAAACTCCCAAACCCAGAAGTTCGCAGAAGTTGAGATTGCGTGTCTTTCACTCCTGAGATACTATTGATATTCAGAGCTAGTATGTTTTTATTTTTTATACTTCTATTGTTTATCTGCCATTGGTTTTATATAACTACAATATAGCACACAATGCGTTTAACAGCATCATTGTCACAAGATCGAATTAATATTTCATCAATAATTCTCAGAACTAGAGTCTTATTTTGTTTGATAACGAAGCCCATTGTCAATAGGATAGTTTCTGAATAGCAGAAAAATCAATGAAATCTCGTGCTGCCATCTTTTATTCAGCTTTTAACTCGGGCTAGAGCTCCATTCATTTACATGCTAAAATCTTGGAAAAGTGGCTTAATTTCATGATTTATCAAAGTGTGTTTGTTGAATCTGTATAAAACTTGAATGATATACCACATGATGACCCTGTTTATGTACATGATGTGATTAAACATGCAAATGTTGATTGACATGCAAATAATCCACGGATTTAAAGAATTTTAGCATTGCATCTATGGACATTTGGCCCAAGTTTTTTTAAATTGTTATAGACAATTATTCAAATTACATAACTGTGTAAATCAAAGCTATTAAAGGAGAAAACTTTCACTGAATTCAAATATGCCATTTAAAAGAAGGTAATGTAAGTCATTAGAGGTCTAATATGCAAGTCTCTTAAAATCTCACGAAAAACGAGATTTAGCGAGATTTCAAAACCTATATGGAAACTATACTATTATGAAGGGCACTTAATATGACGACATTCTTGATAGTGGAGTCAGTTATGTGATCAATTGCACATACTATATATATAACACCATTTTCGGCATCGGTATCACTAATACATATATTTTTGATATTTAATGAAATGGTGTTGAGTTGATAAGTAGCAGGCGTCGAAAAATTTTCTTATTTACATCGAGCTCCATGTTAATTTATCATTCTTCAAAAGACTCCCTTCAGAACAGTGTAAGAGTAATATTAGGAGGTCTACCTACATCCTAAGCTGAAACTGACGATGGTATAGGCTCCAAAGCTCTAATGTAAAATATTGAAATATATTAAACTGTCTTCAACAAATGCCTTCTAATGTATTTCTTAAGTTAACAAATATGTATCTTAAATAAATATTAAAATATCTGGTCAATTAAGTGAACAATCCGCATAAGAAGCCGAAGTGACCAATTTACAGGGTGTCCAATAAATAAGGTGAAAGATATTATAACTTTCTTAATATTACACCAATTTTAATGAAATTCAAATTTTGTAGCCCAAACCTTTTTACGTTTATTTTGTGAATTTAAAGTTCTCATCATCATTACGCGCCAATTAGTCTGAATTGGAAAGGTTATCATAATGACCTTTAAGCTAATGGGTACAGTATTTATCTATGGAACAATTGTAATTCTAAAAGCTAAAAATAAACAATATCTCATCGTAATTAAGAGCAGCATAATAAGTCTTACCTCGTTCATATTTTAGGTTCAATCATATCTGCATCTAAAATATACTGTAAACGCCCAAACCAGGAAGTTCGCAGAAGTTGAGATTGCGTGTCTTTCACTTCTGAGATACTATTCATATTCAGAGCTAGAATTTTTTTATTTTTTATTTTTATACTATAGCTTATCTGCCGTTGGTTTTATATTACTGCAATATACATGTAGCACATGTTTGATAGCATCATCGTCACAAGATCGATTTAAAGAGATGCTAATGAGACTTCTCCGTTGCATTTTTTCTTTATTCCATTTTGTTTTGAATTGTTATACCATAACATTAACAAATTACTCATTATGCAGCTTTAGAATTTCAAAATATTAAGTTTGAAAATTCCATTTTTATAATGGAGCTCAATGGGAAAAACGACATAATTTGAATTATTTTCAAACGTAGCGGTGCGATTTTCTTGAAATTGGCAGATATAATGAATATTGGTAAGACGAAATGTTCAAGGCCACGTACGTATATTCAAGCTCTAAAACCCTGGGAGAGCCCGCGATTCAAGTTACCTCTTCATTTTCTTAAAGCACGATAATATGGATCGTACAATATCGCTTATGGTAAGAAACTACTAAATATCAAAATAAAAAATCCAGAATATCGACAAGGTTCGCGTCATGGGTTAAAACACGTCAATCATCCAATTAGGTCGTATCCATGGATACTAAGATAGGGTTAGACAACAGTTTAAAGGGTTCCGATAAGCATCCCGTATAAAAACAATATGGCGGCTCCAGGCGAATCGACTGGATCAGTCCATTTTTAAGAAATAAGGGGAGTTCTGTAAAATCCAGTTTATTGAAATTGTCTTTGAGATAAAGTAATCCGTTTATAATGATTTTGAAAACATTATCCATAGAGTGATTGCGTTCAAAGAATATGTACAACAGCCAATATAAATCCTTGTATTAGAACTGCTTTGTTTCATTTGTAGGATGTTTCATATACCAAGCTGTGTGCTATTACGTTATGGGGAAATTTAGATGTCAATTTTTCCTTATTATACACAAATAGAAGATCCTGAAACTTCACCCATAAATTTGGAATTGATTTGTCAAAATAAAAATCACCGTTTTATAAATATGTGACGATCTATAATATACTTATGCTATATAACAGTTAGAGGTGTTGACACAACGACCTCGAGCCTGTGAACCCTTGAGTATTATTCCGGGATCGGGCCTTTTATACTAAACGGTGAGCAACACCAGAAACGAGCGTTCGATTTGCTAAACGATATGCGTCACCCTTTAAGCCCAAAGAGTTAAACCATGTAAGTAACCTTTTAGTACGTGTTTCATCGAACTGTATTGTCTCTATCATCATTGAAATCACAGTGGGCATAATGTCCATTATCACCATTATTGTTTTTTTGCAATCATTAACTGTACATGGAATCTCCGTAGTGTTTGATCAAACTGCATTGACTATATCGTCATTGTAATCACAATTGGCACAATCTATCTTATAGATGGGATCTATAGTGTGTGATCGAACCGTATTGTCTCTATCGTCATTGTTATCACAATTGGTACTAGATCCTTCATCATTATTGTTATCATCATTCTCTTTCACATCATCAGTTCTTACTTTGGATCTGTTTCTGGTTGTGAAGGCGTCGTGTTATGAGGTCCTACGATAGAGCAATGGATATTATATTTAATAGATCGTTCCGATAAATCCTGCCATCTTTTGATATATCAGACAGCTTGATGATGTCATAGGTGGTATTTTTTAAAATTAGCAATAAGTTAATCTAGCTTTTGCATGGTCAGATTTCTACCTACAACCAATGACATCATCAATCTTGCCATTATATCATAGTTTTTCTAATATATCAAAAGGTGGCAGGATTTATCGGAACGAACTATTAAGTAGTTTTAAACAGGTTCATGATATTTAGATATGAAAATGGAAATAAATATATAAGCGCAAATGCCAAAGGGAAAGGTGACTAAAATCTTTAAAGAAACCCAACAAGATTAACATATTACCATGTAAAAATGCACTAATCTAAAAACCAGGCACGATTTCCTCTTTATCCATAACAAATTCACAAAATACACATACAGCAGAACCTATTGAAGTGAACAGTTAATTGAAGTGTGCTACAAAAAAACTTTGAAAATGTTTCGAGAAAAACACTTTAACTGTGAAAAACTGTATATATGCAAATCTTTGCAGGTCTATAATCATTATGATGAAATTCAGTCATTTAAAATATTTGTTAAGATAAACTATGTGGAGATGTTGACAAATTCTTAGAATTTTTAAGCCATTCATCCGGTGCAACATTTTGCGACATATTTTACTCACTAGTGGACGTGTAGCAAGCATTTCGATTGATATTACTAGACGAGGTATCACTACACTTAACTTTAAAATGTTCAAAAATTTTCTTCATACAGATATTTTATGTAATCTGACATCTGTTTTTGTTTACCATTAATTTCTTCTTTGGGTTCAGCTTCCGTAATTTCCCCGGGCATCGCGCAGCTGATATCCGTCTCGTAGATCCCGGATTCGGAAGCGAGCTTTTTGCCCTGGAAAAATATACAGTGATTGTGTAATGGATAAAACATAACTACAGGATTAGATGAAATAATGGCCGATGGCCGAAGTCCCGATACCATTATTTCTCCTTAGAGCCAATGCGAATGGGTTATCTAACTTAAACCCCACACTGACTCCTATAAAAGGTAAATGGTTCATGAGCGATTTAAGCTAACACTTGACATTTCAATTGTAAAAAATTCTATTGCACATTATATTATATTTTGTAACTATTTAGAGGTAAATGACTTGATGAGCGAGTGAGTAGGGTGTAATTAGTTCAACGTCAGTGCATTGGATGTAAAAGACCAGGTACAGTGAATATTGAACATTGATTAACGTGGGGGAGAATTCGAAAGTTAGCTTAGCTAAATACTGTGGGTAGCAACACAACCACAAATTTTACCCAATCACAAACAAAGTGATTTACATGTATTTTTTGTTTTTTAATGAGTAGGTATTTTTTCTATGTTTTGTGAAAGTGTCAAGGAAAAGTATTGAAAAATAAAAAAATGAGTAATGTTTTTGGATGAACTTATTGAACGACCTGGCATAAAATAATAAATTGTTTCATTTTAGAGAATGCACACTATCAAAAACGGTGGATCAACTTTTGTGCCACACTGGTTTTTGATAGCGTGCCAAATGTCCATTTCTATAAAAAAAAAAATATAACACTTCTTTTTTACAACTGTACATATTCTAAAATAAACTACATTTCATTCTATTGTGTTGCTGCCTAAGCGGGTTAATCACATTTAAAAAAAAGAGTTTATCATTTTACCTGAATGATAATTTTCTCAAATTCCTCCGCATCAGATTTTGAGCTGAACTGTGCCCTTAATGTGAGCCTGATTGGTTGATTTGTAGCAAAGTCGATTGCCTCCCATTCGCAATACTTTTTCTTTTTCTTGCAGTTCCTAAGTGTTTGAAGTGTTTAAATGTCACAAAATATGGTCTAGAGTGGGCAGTGCTAGGACATGTATACTTTTTAAACAGTCATATCTTTGAACATCAGTATTTAATGACAATAAACATGTTATGAGTGTCATTTGGGAATATTTTATGCTGATTTAGCTTCTTCGAGACTTACCTCTGAATCCTTGTTTCCGTGGCAACCAGATGGTTACACATTATATTGCCATCCTCTCCATGCATCGTAACTCGTGCACCAAGGAACTCGCCATCATGTACAACTATAAGCTCTCCGGATCCCAAACGCTAAAACACAATCTACAATTTATTCACAGTCAGAAGTTCCCATCATAACATAACCATTTCATTATCTCATCAAAGTGAAAATAAGCCACACGGTGAACAGAATCGCACCCTTGAACAGAATACACTTTTCGGGATGGAAAATCCAAAATGGCCACCTTAACATTTACCCAGAATGCCGAAAAACTAATGAGTTATAAACTTTCATAGGTAGAAACATCCCTGAAAATTTCAAATGAATCCCTCAAACGGTTTGGCTGGAAACCTGTACACAAGCCTTCACAGACATGATTTTAGGACGAAAAATCCAAAATGGCTGCCTTAACATTTACCCAGAATGCCGAAAAACTAATCAGTTCTAAACTTTCATAGATCCCTGAGAATTTCAAATGAATCCCTCAAATGGTTTGGCTGGAAACCTGTAGACAAGTCTTGACAGACAAGATTTTAGGACGGAAAATCCAAAATGGCCGCCTTAACATTTCCCCAATATGCCGAAAAACTAATCAGATCTAAACTTTCATAGGTAGAAACATCCATGAAAATTTCAAATGAATCCCTCAAACGGTTTGGCTGAAAACCTGTAGACAAGCCTTGAAAGACAAGATTTTAGGACGGAAAATCCAAAATGGCCGCCTTAACATTTACCCAGAATGCCGAAAAACTAATCAGTTCTAAACTTTCATAGGTAGAAACATCCCTGAGAATTTCAAATGAATCCCTTAAACGGTTTGGCTGGAAACCTGTAGATAAGCCTTGACAGACAAGATTTTAGGACGGAAAATCCAAAATGGCCGCCTTAACATTTACCCAGAATGCCGAAAAACTAATCAGTTCTAAACTTTCATAGGTAGAAACATCCCTGAGAATTTCAAATGAATCCCTCAAACGGTTTGGCTGGAAACCTGTAGACAAGATTATTCAGGACGCCCGCCCAACCGCCCGCCCGCCCAACCGCCCGGCAAACTGATTACAATATAGCACCTAAGGGTGCGATAAAGATCAATCTTTCAATCTATCAGAACTTTAATTTTTTACTCATGATCAACCAGTCAACTATAGTTTGATCTCATTCAATTTATTAGAACCATCCTTATTCAACCAGTTTGAAATTTAACGTGATCTCATTGAACTTTACAAAAATATCATGCGATTATTCAACCAGTCTTGAATATTGTGTATAAGTGCTCATAATGGCATACCTGTGGTTGGTTACACCCGTCAATGGTAGATAATGTAACTTGTTTCTGAAAGAGGATTTTTTGTTCATCGTCGTCATTTTCAATCTTATCACCATGGTCATCTTTGTAGCCACCAGCTGCTTCATCATCTTCATTCTCATCATTGATTTGTTCGTCATCGTTTTGTTCATCATTGTTGGTAATCTTGCTGCCAGCTGCTTCTGGTTGGGAAATCGCCACTGCATTCAACCCAACAATTGAATAATAATTTTATGTGGTTGTCACTAGGTTATTCATAGATGTTTAACTCGTATACATATGAACTGGAAATGAACATCGTCTGTACCATGTTTAAATTCATTTGAAAATATAATCTCGCAGGCATTCATTAAATATTATAGTTTGAATAAAAAAGGTAACTTTAATTAGGCTCCATCTCACTTACCTTGACCTACATGCAGTTTCTTTGCATCATCCAGATTTTCCATATCGCCTGTCACGTCAACAGTCATGGTTTCCTCAATTATGACTTCTCTGTTATCATCATTGAATTCATCAGCGTCTTTATCATCATTGTTTTGTTCATTAATGTCCATCACATCGTCGATGCTTGCACTCGCATCATGGAACTCATCATCATCAGCTTCGTTAACTATAAGAATGGTCACAATTCTAGGTATTGTCTCAAAACTAACTAATTAAATCCTTGACCTCCAGCCAATGTAAAATGTAACTCAAAATTTATCGATTTAATTTTAAAGTATCTTCCTTTCAAGTACCGTTTAGCAAAATAGATCGACATACTGGATAGGCAAAATTGATATTAAATTAGATTGAAATACTGCTTTACCATCATGATCACTCTCTCCCCCAGCTTCTTGAAAGTCAATTTCCCGAGGCATTGCACACACAATATCCCTCTCAGAAATCCCTGACAGATTTGCAGATTCTTTACCCTGAAATAATAGGACCATAGAATGTATTTTTAAGGTTATTATCCATTTGTTAAGGAGATATTTCAAATTACACAAGGATGGCTTGAAAACCGTTATCAGCATAATACTAAAGAGCTGTTCTTCAGTTCCCGTCACAGTGGTTTAAATGTGTAAACATTAATTAAATATACTTATCAATGTACTTATCCCAAATGCTACATGTACCAGCTAAGATAAAATTTCAATTATACACTGATAACAGGATCTTAAGAGGTTCTGGACAAATCATTTGATTCTGGACTTGACATATTTTTTTTCCAACGAAATCACATCCAAGGGTTGAATTTTTATTGGATATTTAGAGAGCGAGTCCTGTATTGATTTCAATAAAAAGGTTAAAATAGAACGCTATTTGAGAGTTAATCTTATACTTTCATTACATTGATAAATTAAGGCAAATTCTGAAAAATTTTAAAGTGCATTTTTTATGAAATATTATCCAAGTATTTAGATGAAACGGTCTTATTTAAATACAAATCATAACATGATGATATTTTTTCATAAAATATTTCATTAAGAAATTCAATTGAAGGCTCAAGATAAAACGAGCTAATTTAGGTGAAAACCCTTACATGATGATGTGTTTTCATGACTTCTTTCATAAAATTCCATCAAGGGGTGAAAATAAAATGATCACGAGGATAGGTTTTCTTGGATATTTTCTATGAAATCCCATCCAGTGGTCAAGGTAAAATTTTTATTTGGTATATTTGGTCACGTGTTCGAACCCATAGAACCATATAGGAACGTCATTTTGAATGTTACGTGATAAATCCATATAAGGCTTTTAGAACAATGTGGGGAAAGATGAGGGGAAACCCCTGACACCTGTTCACGATTTTATCCGAACGTTCATCGGATCATTTCGGTTTTTATGCACTTCATTATTTTACCGAAGTTTGCCGATTCGATTCGTCGTATTTCGGAATATTGGGGACAATTTTATACTCCATTGGGAGTATTTTTAATCTACTTCTTATTACGAAGATTCCCGAACCTTGTTCGGATTAATCCGGATTTTCTGACCTACTTCATCTACCGAGATTTAACGAGTTTACATTCGGCTCATTTCGGAATCCTGGTGACAATTTTATACTCCATTGGAGTATTTTTGATCTACTTCTCTGGATTTTTGATCTACTTCTTATGACGAAGATTCCCGAATCAGTTCGGATTAATCCGGATTTTCTGACCTACTTTATCTACCGAGATTTAACGAGTTAACATTCGTCTCATTTCGGAATCCTGGTGACAATTTTATACTCCATTGGAGTATTTTTGATCTACTTTTTCTGGATTTTGCCCTACTTATTATAAGTTGACAGCAAGCAAATCAAAAAGTTCGCCATGAACGGGTTTCGATCGACTAACCTAGAGAGTGGAAGCTAAACACGCTAGCCATGAGGCTAACGTTCACCTGTGTGAGATGATAAAAGTATCATATATTTATACCGAGCGTCAATTTAGAATGATCTTCGCTTTTGACTCCACTTAGATACAACTCGTCAGTTGTATCCAGAATAGGTGAACGCCTATGGTGTTAGTGAATAACCAAATCCCAGGCGAGTGGTTCGTATCCCACCGTGATATGTTATTTTTGCTTTATTAATACGACAGAAAGGAGCAAGGTGTAGGTTTGAAAACAAGACGTACGTTTATTTCAATACAGTTTTAGAAACATTAACCTCTGATAATTGAAGGATTTCCACTTCTGAAGCGCGACTAGATCTAAGAAGTTCATTAATCAAGACAGTGTAAACCTTTTAGATATATGTTAGACAATGTACACGCCCCGTGTGGAATCAACTAAATGTTACATTTTGGATTTCATTGAGATCCTGTCATAGTCCTAAAATTTATTTTTCTGGAACATCATTTTTCAACACTGATACAAATTTCCCTGACATTTCCATGACATGTCTACAGTTTCAAAATTCCCGTACTCTTTGGCCCTTTTTGACCTTATTTTAAAATTCTCTGACATTTCAGGCACTTGGAAAATTAAATCAAAACCCTGACATTTCCAGGTGTGTACGAACGCTGGAATTATTCTTAAAATATCCTTCAAACAAAAGGGGAAAATGCTATGCACAAATACATGTACTCTAATTTAGTTTGTATTGTAATGCGTTGTATTACATTGCATTGCATTGTATTGTGTATTTATTTGAGTGTCCGTTGACGGTAAAGAAGGCATTTAAAAGTTATTTGTGAAACTTAATAAACTTAATAAACAATACTTTAACAGTATTCTGTTATGGCAAAGTATATTTCATTTTTTCTCTTGTTCTCTACAATCTGCGTTGAGGACACTGAAGCATATGTCTGTATTTTGTTGGTGGGGAACAGCGTATCCTATCGTTCACGGAGCAAATTCAACTCTCGTTCACGAGTACCTTGTTTTTGGGCTCTTGTCCCAAAGATAACGATTGTATAAGGTTGCATAATCAGGATTATGAGCTTTCATGTTCTCATAGTTACATCTGTTGTAAAACGAATCTTGTCGCAACCTCTGCGAATCACGACAGCATAACATTTGAATCACGTTGACATCATTGCAAAATTAGGCTAAATATGCTAAGTCAAGACGTTAATTAGCCCACGAAAGTTCATGGGTAACTTGAGAACTACAAAATACAACCAAATACTTTTCGAACGTACAATAGCAATATTTCTCACCTAACGTCTTCATAGTTTTAGGAACGTATTTTAAACGCATGATAGCCAAATATATCAAGATACTATATCTGCCTAAATGAAGTTATCTAGTGTTTACAAAGTTTTGAAATATATTATATCCAGATCCATCAGAAATTAACTTATCCATTTACATTACTTTACTAGTTCTAGTATCTTGCATGACTCGTTCATAAGAATTCTTTAATTCTACCTCGTTCCCAATACGTCCTCAGACAGACAAGAAATTGAAGTCACACCCGTTTGTTTGCGTGGCATATTTATACGTATACGCACTTTCTCTGATTATTGTCAAACAAATACATTTCAGGAGAAGAACATAAAAAACAAATGCCTGAAACGAATGCCGAAACATAAATCCCAAGTGATTAAGTATAGAATGTTTTATTCTTTTACGATTTGATAAGAGACCGAGACTAAGAAATTAAATGCGACGAAATATTTTGACAACGTAATTTGTATACTGTTTTATTCTTAAAGTTCTATGCGATAAATTATTTTATCTGTTTCAAAATGTTTCATTTTATTTTGCCTATATAAAAGAGATTGAAGAAGATAAGATAAACTGTTCCGTAATATATATTGTGTTTTAATAACCTTTTTTTTAGAATCACAATGTAAAATAAATCTCCCGTTCCTGCCATTCTGGTAACGCCATGCAATGGATGCAATTCAAAGTGAGAGAGAGATCTATGAATAACAGAATGCGTCCATGCCATTAATTTGGCCAAATACATGGCATGAAACTGACGTAAGTTTAAGTAAGCTACGCCCCCCGCTTTCTCTGGTAAATTATGACTTTATTTTTCGGAGTAATGGGTTTCGGACAACTGGGTTTCGGAGAACTGGGGTGTACCCGATTACGCTTTGCACGCCGCTTTAAAATCCCGATGTCTCCAGAGGTAGTTTAATCCGGTAGCCGACAGGCGTTTCTTGCATTATTGAATACAAGCTAACCTTATATTCGCGAATGCAACTAACGCCTTCCGGCTACCTGATTAACCCAGTATAATATGACCAAGTCATTTAAATATGAATGGAATAGTGGCAGGTACTATTCGTATTGACATGAGTTTCCAATAAAATAATAGGTTAATCCGGTAGCCGACAGGCGTTAGTTGCATTTGCGAATACAAGCTAAGACTATGATTTGGGAATGGAAGATTTCAGCTTCCGGATTAACCTACCATTCTATGGGCGACTCATTTAAATATGAAAAGAACCTGACAATATTCCATTAATATTTTAATGAATTGCCCATAAAATAGTAAAGTAGGTTTATCCGGTAGCCGACAGGCGTTAGCGGCATTCGCGAATACAAGCTCCTTTATTTCATAATTTGGGAAATATATATTTTCACAATATTGAAATAGATGGTGGTTCAAAGTGGAATACATATCATACAAGTGTAACAGATATTTTTAGTGCATGGTCTGTCTTTGCATGACTTTGTAGAACATATCAAAACCCTGGGATCCACAGGGTAACAGTAAGTACATTTCGTTAGATCTTCCGAAGTTCATGCTTCAAAGTTGTCAAAGTTGTAAAAGGGTAATCCTTTTTTGAGTACGAAAGCGTACTTTTTGTTCAATAGCCTTTCCCAGCTGCTAATCTTTTGAGTGCATCGTGCATTCAACGAATTGTATTCACTTATTAACCAATCAGTGCCAGGAACAAAATGCACGCTTACTTTTTGGGCTAAGTTTAGTGTTTTATGAAGCATGCTACATACAAATGTTACGCTTTTGCTCATTTACTTTGAGAACTATCTATAGGTACACATTACCAATTGACTCCTAGATTTGAGTGAACAAGTACCTCGTATTTTTCATTTTTCGATATTTTGAGATTTGTTGGCTGATGAGTAACTTGATATTTTATGTCTAAATATATTAAAGTGGTTAATAGTAATAGTTTTATTGTACACCATAAACTGTTAACGTTTTAGAATTGGGACACAATATATGATTTGATAATAGAACAATACATGTATATGTCTTACTCTAAACTCGGTGGTTTGTTTGTTAGTATGTTTTCTTAACAGCTCAATAACTGTTGTATTAATAAGGCGTTATACTATGAAAAAAAGATTGAACGATGTAGGCATAGGCAGAGGGAGTATCACACTACCCTACCACGTGAACACATTTAAAAAGAATACAGGGTACAGTTAAGTTGCAAATAGAGCGGGTATTCTTTGTCCTTTTCCATAGGACTTTTCTGGTGATAGTGCGTTGCAAACTGCTCGATGAATCTATACAATGTAAAATCTAGTATTCCTCCAGAACTATGGAAATAAACAAAGGTCCTCCATTTGCAACTTCACTGTAGCCTGTATTCCTTTTAAAGAAATACGGGCTACAGTATTGGGGTATAGTAGTTTGATTTTTCAATATATCACTAATCTAGCTTCTTTCCTTGAAAAAACATGAGTTTTGATGTACGTATATCAAACATGGGCCACTGCACTATATTGAACCAGGGTGCCGGTGTTACATAATGTGATTTTATGGGCCATCATACAACCACCTCTTGCCCACTTTATTCATGTTTTGGATTACAGTTTATACACAATGCATAAACAGCATGAAACAATCATTTCTACTTGTGGATTAGATTTGTATACATCTCTTTGTGAACTGAGTGTTATGTTCAATATGTGAAAATATCATGGACTTAAATTGTACTTATATTTATAACCTGACCACATTTGCATATGTTCAACAACTGACTGAGTGATCGAGTTCATCAAACAATGTTCGTAATAGAGGTCATGAACTTTGCTTTATTCATAATCCTATTTCTGCAACTGACTCATATTATGCATCTTATTATATAATATTATATGATTTATTTTGATTAGCAGTGTCTCATAAGCCATTGGTGGCTCGAGGCTTTTTGGATGATTGTACAGATGTATATGTATGAAATTAAGCATGCGACACTTAAATAAAAAACAATACAATATTAAGCTTATATACTTGTAGTTCAACAAGTTAAACCTAGTCTGGGCCTTATTTCTTATCTGACATATCTTGTGGCCCGCCCTAGGTTTAACGTCCGTGCCAATTGGGCCCTTGATGCAAAAAATGTAATGGTAGCCTATGGTAGCGCATGGAATTCCATGCGCGTTTAATTAATAACTGATAGTGAGAATTTGCAACAAATGAAAGCATAGCACGGAAGTTAAACCCAACCACGGCAACAAGAACATTCAGATTAATAAATGAAAGCCGTGGTATTGGGTTTAACTTGTTGAACTAATATACTTGCTGATCATATGATTTTAATATTTTAATACTACATGATACTCATATCAAAATACCAATGTATTTGTGAACAACTCTTACGTTTGATATTGTACGAATTTTCTGATTTGCTGTAGTAGTCGTAAATGCAACATATAACAATGTTATGTTACTTTGTGTCATATGAAAAATAAATTCGTACAAAGATGAGTTTTATTTCGTTTGTTATTCAATGTAGAATACACGTTGTACATTATTTCATGTATAGGATATTGACAATAATCAGACTATCGTATTACAATACAGAAGAATAAAAGAGATAATGATATATGCATTCTAATTTGAGATTGACATGCGTAAAGGTATCAATATTTTATCTAGTATTTCATTTTATCCCTCCCATCCCATCCCACCCGCTCATCAGCAATCCCCAGAAAATTCGTTCGGTGCTTTTAAATGTTAATAGTTCGGTTGAGTTTTAAAAATAAATCTTAAGCACTTTAAATCTAGATAAAATATTCATGATTTGATTGTGATTATCATTTCTAATTATTACATGACGGTTCCATTACATTCAATGCGTATCTAATCCTCATAGTTTATACTCGATTTTCGACAGGTAAAGGTAATATATCAACCCTCGGTCCCTACTATTTCTCGTGTAGATATATTGCATAACTTTCTCAGATATATCCTGTATATTAAATACATTAAATAACATTATATATGTTAGTCTCAGCCTAGACAGTATATATATCAATTTTATTGGATAATGCCATGGGCTTTCCCGCGATAATGCGTAAATTCGAATGAACATGAAATGAAATTCAACATCCAAAATGTGTTAATTTGATCATCCACCGTGTAACTAAAAGCATATTCATGGCCTATTTGCCTTAAAATACGATTGTGATTATGATTTCGAATTCTGTTCTCCATATGTAAAATCTAGAAACATAACAGAGTTAAGTTACACGAAATTCAGCCAACTTGAACATGAAGTCTTGTCAATTTACTTAATCGTTGATTGATTTCTAGGTTTATTAGAATTAAAAGAACGAACGTTTCATCAAACGAGTCCTATATTCAATATCTATTCGTTGGGCCCATTCTTTAAATGTAACTATATTCTTTTAACTTTAAAAGTATCTGTTTAGTGCTACTTTAACATATATTCATTATTTTTATCCGCACAACAGTATCAAACGTTAATGCACAACTAGCCATGCCAAGACATGGCCACTACCCTCGTCCAAAGTAAAATACAAGGTCCTCATTCTTTAATGATTATGTTTCAATTGATTTAGTTTAGTGATTTAAATGTAGGAAAATGAGTCGCTGTGATGTCATATCTGGCGCAGCAATTTCAGAGTCACTGCAAAAAATTGAAACATCAGTCGGATCATAAGACTAAATAAAAAAGCTATTTAGGGATGAATAACATTCGGTGAAATCCGTGATATCGTTATATCATTCGTTAATTGTCAAAGCTGCGCCCATTTCTCGGTGCAGGCAGATATAAGGCGGCCAGACTGGGCATACACAAAATGTATTGTATGTGCTCCTTAGGTTGCACTCGGGTGCTATCAACATCGAACACACACACGTTTAAGATACACAGAGATAATTAAGGGATGAGTGACAAAGGGATGTTAAAAACAGGTGGCTATTGCAATTGATATTTTAATGTAACTTTAGTATGTAAGAATCTTTTCATCAATAAAAATAACATCTTAGATATTACAGCTACATGTACAATGTGAGTGTATTTAAAAATGTAGTACATAGCTAGTTCCATCTATAAAGATGTCTGATGACAAAAAGCTCAATTTTCCTTGATGTCGTGGTCAATGGGACTTTAACACGTGAACTAATGTTTTTTATTTTTTTGTTTTAAAGTCACTTATAGCAAACCTAATCTAACAATTATCTCACTATATGCTTATGACATATTCATGTATACGTTGTTTGTCTTTTTTTTCAAATCAACCCACGGAAATATGCAATACACCAAGTTAAAAAAGTGGTACGAATCATAAAAGCGACGTTGGGTGTTTCACTAGTAATTTTTATATGAAAAATCTAGAAATATTACCCAAATTAAACTATGACTATTCAAAAGAAGACATTCAAATCTATATTATGTAAAAAAATCAAATTTGTCCGAAGCAGGGATAACGCTCAATTAGAGTGACGAACTTTGTTCTCCAAACCGAGAATGGTCTTTTATGAAAAAAGTTATGAAAACACATCACCAGATCATGTAAAGCTGTTTTACCTAAAAGATCGTTTTATCTTCACCCTTCGATTGGATTTCATGAAAAAATATTTTTATGAAAAAATAGGATTTGTAGGATATCGACGCTCTAACATGTAGTTTTAATCACACGCAGGTATCTGGTTTTATTGCGTGTAGAATGTATCGATATCAGGACCGCTACATGCCAGTGACCTTGCTCCTTTCTGTCGTATTAAAAAAGCAAAAAAAAGCGAACCACTCGCCTGGGACTTGGTTATTCACTAGTACCATAGGCGTTCATCTATTCTGGATACAACTGACGAGTTGTATTTACGTGCAGTCAAAAGTGAAGATCATTTTGAATTGACGCTCGGTATAAATATATAATACTTTTATCCTTTCGTATCGGTTGCACGTTAGCCTCATGGCTAACGTGCCCAGCTTCCATGCTCTAGGTTAGTCGATCGAGACCCGTTCATGGCGAATTTTTTGATTTGCTTGTTGTAAAGATATAATAAGTAGGGCAAAATCCAGAAAAAGTAGATCAAAAATACTCCAATGGAGTATAAAATTGTCACCAGGATTCCGAAATGAGACGAATGTAAACTCGTTAAATCTCGGTAGATGAAGTAGGTCAGAAAATCCGGATTAATCCGAACAAGGTTCGGAAATCTTCGTCATAAGAAGTAGATCAAAAATACTCCAATGGAGTATAAAATTGTCACCAGGATTCCGAAATGAGCCGAATGTAAACTCGTTAAATCTCGGTAGATGAAGTAGGTCAGAAAATCCGGATTAATCCGAACAAGGTTCGGGAATCTTCGTAATAAGAAGTAGATTAAAAATACTCCCAATGGAGTATAAAATTGTCCCCAATATTCCGAAATACGACGAATCGAATCGGCAAACTTCGGTAAAATAATGAAGTGCATAAAAACCGAAATGATCCGATGAACGTTCGGATAAAATCGTGAACAGGTGTCAGGGGTTTCCCCTCATCTTTCCTTATATGGATTTATCACGTAACATTCAAAATGACGTTCCTATATGGTTCTATGGGTTCGAACACGTGACCAAATATACCAAATAAAAATTTTACCTTGACCACTGGATGGGATTTCATAGAAAATATCCAAGAAAACCTATCCTCGTGATCCTTAAATCACTTAAATTCGATCATTTTATTTTCACCCCTTGATGGAATTTTATGAAAGAAGTCATGAAAACACATCATCATGTAAGGGTTTTCACCTAAATTAGCTCGTTTTATCTTGAGCCTTCAATTGAATTTCTTGAAGAAATATTTTATGAAAAAATATCATCATGTTATGATTTGTATTTAAATAAGACCGTTTCATCTAAATACTTGGATAATATTTCATAAAAAATGCACTTTAAAATTTTTCAGAATTTGCCTTAATTTATCAATGTAATGAAAGTATAAGATTAACTCTCAAATAGCGTTCTATTTTAACCTTTTTATTGAAATCAATACAGGACTCGCTCTCTAAATATCCAATAAAAATTCAACCCTTGGATGTGATTTCGTTGGAAAAAAAATATGTCAAGTCCAGAATCAAATGATTTGTCCAGAACCTCTTAAGATCCTGTTTGATATAAAAGATATGAAAATGCACAAATCAATTCGTCAAGCATCATAGCAAATACTTTTTGTGACTGTGAGAAAAGAGGTGCAATTACCTCGATGATTATCTTTTCAAATTCCTCTGCAGCATTTTTCGAGTTAAAATCTGCCCTGAATGTGCGTCTAATTGGTTGATTTGTGGCAAAGTCTATGGCCTCCCATTCACAGATGCTTTCCATTGGGTTCCTACATGCACAAAAGCATAATTTGATTCACTGGAACAAATGTTCAATGCAGACAGACAGTGAGAATAGAATTGTACTTTATAGGGATACCTCTGAATTCTTGTTTCTGATGCAACAAGATGGTTACACAAGACACTGTCATTATCTCCTTGCATCGTAACACGTGAACCAGAATATTTTTCATCATGTAGTACTACCACAGACCCTCGGCCAATAATCTGAAATATAAAAATAAACTATTCTACCATTATTGTCCCACATTGAGAAATGGCAAATGTCCTCATTATAAAAGCAACTCATTCAACCATATGATTGTACTATGATATGACATCATTTAAACCATCGGATGTATCAACATATTGTATTTAACCTTCTGAAGCTTATTCATCCAATCATCAGCTTCAACATACCTGGGCGTCGTTGTTTTCATCTATGATGGACAAAGTGACCTGTTTTTCTAACATAATACTTTGATCACCTTCGTCTGTTTCATAATCATCATCGGTATCGTCATCAACGCTATTGTCATTGCCATCATTGGTACCATTACATACTTTATCATCATAGTCTTCATTATTACAATGTTCACCGTTATTCCCCTCGGCAGTTTGATTTTTGGCTTCTGGTCCCAATTCTATTACTGTATTCAAATCTACAATAAAGTGCAAAGCTCGTATTTTTATTCAGTCATATGTGTTACCTCAATAATCATATACGTTTTTATATTCAATTGCACAACTTTAGATAATCTGATTACTTTTGACATTCACCTTACAATTACAATACTTTTGAGCTACTCTCAACATACTTTTCGAGAACAAACCCACCTATCGAATCTTCGTCATCACACCCCTGATACCCTAGACAATGAGGCGCCTCCGTTGAAGTGGGAATTCCTAAAATCAGATATTTATCTGCAATTGTATCACCAAAGACAGTGGTTTGGGAAAATAATTTGACCGAGTATTATATATGATGAATGAAACAAGAGAGAATGAATCATTTGTAACAAACGTTTATACAATTTTTGCATCCATACCAACCAAGGAGTATATGTCAACCCGAATCGGAGCTACACTGGAGGCAACTAGTTGATAATTACTTTGGGATAGTGAACATATGTTTTGATCATCTGCATTTGAGAAATTAATTCCTTATTTGAATATTCCATAAAACAATTTCTCTAAAATGCAGAGGGACAAAAAGTACATTAATTAATTAGTCATTTGAGAAATCGTTCTCCGAGAGGTATATCAGTATCTTAAAATGTTTTGTTATGTAGGGGCACCTACATCATTTAAATCTGACTGGAGCCTCTAGAGGGCCTTTGATTGAGTGTTCTGGGTACATCCTGCTTCTTGGTTTAACCTTCACATTGGGCCGCTCATTTATATCAAGAAAGATTGATAATATTAATTTACCATCACATCCACCCTCCCCTTCAAGTCCATCTTCTGGAAAGTCAACTTCCCGAGGCATTGCACACCCAATATCCCTCTCAAAGATCCCCGACTTATTTGCAGATTCTTTACCCTGAAATAACAGGAACATGATTAAATTTGAGTATAATCTTAAACAAATCAATATTTTCTAAGAAATGTGCAACATGTATATTTGTCTTGTGATTGTATGCTGGACGTTTATATCTAGCTATTTGTGACATTGAACACTTCTTATCATTACATCACGTGTCAATTTTTCACTCCCTGCCATGTTTGTGAAGATGTAAATCCGTCAACCGTCATAAAAACCTCTAGTCGTGAAGATTAAGATTTACTCACCTCAATAACTACTTTTTCAAATTCCTCTGCAGAATTTTCCGAATTAAAGTCTGCCCCGAAGGTGCGTCTAATTGGTGAATTTGTGGCAAAGTCTATAGCCTCCCATTCACAGAAGCGTTGGTTCCTAAGGATTATGTTATATAGTTTGATTTATCGGTAGAAGTGTAAAATGTCGACAGAAAGAATACATATGCACTGTTAAGTAGGGTTACCTATGAATTCTTGTCTCCGTAGCAACAAGATGGTTACACAAGACGCTGTCATTATCTCCTTGCATCGTAACACGTGAACCAGAATATTCTTCATCATGTAGTACTACCAAGGACCCTTGACCAATACTCTGAAAATAGTTGAGCAATCTTGCCTTAAACGAAATAAATATCAAATGTCCCTTTTATCAAAATATCGCATTTAACCAGTCTGAAAATAAATGGTTACACTTTAAGAAATATCAACAAATTGAAAAAAATGTGTGTATTCTTAGCTTATTACGAAATTCAACATACTTGAGTTTCCTTGTTCTCATCAATGATGAACAATGTAACCTCTTCATCAAACAGGATATTAGGGTCACTTTCGTGGTATGCTTCAAAATCATCATTAGCCTCATCATCGTTGTCTTTGTTGCCATCATTTTCATGGTCGGCTATTTTGTCATTCTTCTCTTCATACTTGCAGTGCCCATCATCATTTTCCTCGTCATCTTTCACAGGTTTACTCTCGGCTTTTGGTTGCGATGATGTTACCCAATTCAAGTCTAAAATAGAATTCATTGTATGGACGTGTATACAAATACCTGTATTAGCTCAATAAGCCAATATATCAGACTAAACAACTACAAGAGAAGCCAAAAGGGTTACCTTGACTCAACCCTGTATAACATTATAGCAAAAATTTATGCATTTTAATTAGTTGTAAAATGACCCCCTCTATTGCTCTCCATTATCAGTGATTAAAACAAATGATTAAATTCAAGATTAAATTAAAAATATTATTTCCTAAAGGAAATATCTTACCCTGAGATATATCGACAGATTTAATTTCTGATCTGTTTGTCTTTGCTTTGTCGAAACTATCTTTAAATTTTGTGGCAATATCAGCAGTTTTGAATTTTACTCCAAATATTTCCCGTTTGGGTTCACCCTCAGAATAATCCATAGTTGACCATACCAAACCTTTTCCATCTGCTTTTGACATTGGTGTCAATTCCAATGTCTCCGTAATGCGGTGATTGCAGCAAATCTTTAGGATTTTTTCACGACGCATTAAAACCCTGGATTTCTTTAACAGCTTATGTTGCAAGATTTTTATATCCCCAATGCCACGCTCTTTCCATTCGGAATCGGCATATCGGAATAATTTAGCTCTGTGTACAAAAATAATATCTTCATTTTCTTCACCAGTCTTCACTTCAACTTTATCTGGTAATGGAACAATAGGTTTAGCTGTCACCATCGGAGATTTCGTCTGAGTTTCACAAGAATCAAATGAGGTACTACTTGTAGGAGTCATGTTGAATGAGAAACCTGTGCAGCCCTCTTTAGTTCCGAATGAGAACCCCGATGTTGAATTCATCTCTGATTTTTCAAATGAAACTACCTGATCAGATCCCCTAGTCTCACCAGATGGCACTGAGTCGAGAGATAAATGAGATTGATCAAAATGAGGTGAAGTTTCACACGTTTTTACAGTTTCACACGCAGAACATGTCATCAAGTTCGGTTCATTTCTACTATGACACTCAGTGCACTCCCATGATCCATTTTCCTGTTGATGTTTATTTAAGGAATCCCCATGTGTTGTTTTGGATTCCGTTCCTGCAGGGCTCACATTTTCTATGGAATGATTTTTCAAAGTACCATCTTTACAGTCGAAATTCTCATGAGACAGATGTTGACCAACTTGAGGTAAGGATTGAGCACCTTGATGAGGTTGAGGTTCAGGGCAATGAGGTTGAATTTGAGTACTGTGATGATGGGGATTGACATTTTGAGGTTGAGGTTCAGCACCTTGAAGTTGGACATCAGGACCTTGAGGTAAGGGTTTAGCAACTTGAAGTTGGAATTCAGGTTGAGTTTGAACACTTTGAAATCGAGCATAAGTACCTTGAGGCTTAGGTTCAGCCCCCTGAGGTAGGATGTTTTCATCATGAGTTTGAAATTGGCCTTGTGGTACAGTTGTGTGCATCTTTCCTCCAGGCGCACAAGGGCTTCCAAAATTTCTCATGCTGTTTTCATTAAAGTAAGATCGTAACTCCCCCTAAAATAAGAATATCTTTCAATATCTACTATATTCACATAATGGAGGATGCAATTATCAATTGATCGATATCATCGTTATAGAGGTTAAGTATATTCGTTAGGCAAAACGTTGATTCTTACGCGAAAGGCTTCGATTTCCATACGGATTTCCTTCACTTCCTTGATGATTTGCTGCTGTGTGTCGGACATCTGTTTAGTACAATCGACAAACAATTTGATCAGAGCATCATGATTGGTCGATGTTGATTCAGTGTGAGTATCTTTGCTTTCTTGTCTAGCTTTAATGTTCTGAAATTATTAAAATTAAAGTTTATGGTACTGTGAAAATAAAATATCGTCAAAGTCAAAATGATTTAGCACAAAATCAAAAATATAATGATAAAAAGGAATGGGATAAATTTAACCTCTACCTAATTTATATTGGAAAACAAATAGGAATTCAATTTGGCTGAAAGGTATGTCTTTCGATAATACAACTGTTTTTCATTAGCTATTTGAACTTTTGGCAGATGTACACTCCGGCCCTTTGCTTGGGAAACAGCAAAAATTACCCTCATTGACAAGCCCAGTATTTTTCTTTGGTATATCTCTGGGGTCCATTGAAGTGAAATGAAGGGACGTCTGTCCTTCAATGACCAAGAAAGATGATATCAACCTATTTCTCACCTTTCTAATTATTCAAGCACAAGAATCAAATATGAACCTATAAAACCCAAGAGTAAATTGTAGATAGCATCTTCCTCCCTGGGCTTAATTTCTATAGTGAACTTACATCTAAGGCGCCCTGCAGACCAAACAATCCAACAAAGCGGAGATCATCTGACACGACTTGTGCATTGGCTACTGAAAAAAGAAAAAAATTTCATGTTGAATGAAATAAATAATGAATTGCACAAATATACGATGTATGTATATATGCACAAGTGCTAACGGGGATACTGAAAGGTGTTAAAACAGAGCTAAGGAATGAAACACCAACGGGCCAGTCACATGGAAAACAAACCCAAATATCCCAAACTTTGATCTAGATTGTAAAGAAACAAGGTCTAATGTAGTAATAACACTTTTCCCATAAATTATTCTTTTACTGATAAACCTGGCACTTTTCATGTTCATGATTGGGACAATGTTATGTGTGTTAGAGTGGAAGAAGGAGTGTATGTTTGGGGGAGGACGAGAGGGTAAGATCAATGATGAAGAACTTAAACCTTACATTGTTCATACTCCCCTAGTCTGTCTGGGTTAGTAACATCTGCGTAGAAGTTCTTTAATCGAGATGAGGCCATGAAGGATGATTTCTCTGAAGTCTCTGCCGTTGGAGCTTCATAAAATACTTTAGAGTATAATCTCTGATGATCCTGAAGATAAAAAATATGTACGCTTACCCCCCTATCACACCAAACGAGTTCTTACCCGTTCTTGCCAGTCCTACGAAAACGTCGTAAAACGGGCTCAATCTGGCTGTGGTCGGGAAATTTGTCTGAAATAATTAGCTTCTTCGTTCTTAAACAGTCTTCAATACGTCCATCTCGTTCGCAGTTCGTTCAGGTCGCACCACGTCGGTGTGCAACGTAGTAGAACGCGTCCCTTAGTCTAGAAGGTCAACATGACCTGATTACAGAACGGTATGGTCGCCATCGAATTTCGAATCGATTCAAAATTCTAAAATCACATTCCCGTCTGAGAACGTTCATAAAGTTCGTAAATAGACCTTAGAAAGTTGCAGCTACGTTCATTCCGTTCGCACACAGTTTAAAACCAGTTTTGAAGAACGCAGTGGCAACTTGTTTGGTGTGATAGCTATATTTTTGCTAACTCGTTCATAAGCAGTGTTAAATACGTTCTTAATCAGTTTAAACCCGTTTGCAATTAGTTCTACCTCGTTCTCAACACGTCCTCAGACAGTTCAACTCGTTGTTAAAACGTCCCTAGTAGGATTGAAGTACGACGGTTCCGTTCGTAGTTCGTCCAGCTCGTCGTTAGTACGTTGTCACTCGTTCTAATTGTAGAACGTGGCGACCACGAGAACATTTTGAGCATTGTCTAAGTTCTTGAGGACCTACCCGTTCGAGTACGTTCGATGAAGTTTGTAAATAGATCCCAAGCGGTTCTTAGTAGGTCCAGTCCGTTCGTACACAGTTGAAGCCCGTTTTCGAGAACGTAGTGAGAACTAGTTTGGTGTGATAGTAGGGTTAGTGACAACTGACAAAATAGCAAAGTGGAAAGACCCGCATTATAGAGCACTACCAGTCATCGGGTAAACGAATCCATATCCCAAAATGTGACCCAACACACAAGGAAAGAATGTCTTACACCCTTCCCTTCGTATTGTAACAATCTACAGCATCATTTGACGTGTCTCCATGATGAAGTCATTAAAATATATGTTGATTAAGGCAAATGTATTATACTGATTGACTGCCGCGTCACAATTACCAAATACAGGGCGGGATGGATTGTAGCCTTATCATACAACTGAGTGTAATACAATTAAAATGATAAAGAATGTTCTCTTTCAGACTGGACATAGGCCTGTGTGTAGGCCTAGTAAGCTGAACAGTCCTATCCTATGTACCTCCATTTATTTAATTTTAAGTATTATGAATATATTTCGAGCCATTTTGTCCAAAATTGATTATTATTCAAAAGTTGGATAAATCCTTGAAACGAGGGGTACATGTCTATATATAAACCATAGTCTAAAGGTTATTACCTGCTTAGATGTGATATTTTTTGCTATTCTTTGTATCCATTCCTTTGGTTCCCCTTTATGCATACTTTGTACCAGGTAGCCTGAAAAGAAAAATCACTCTTAAAAATGAATTACTTGAGTATTTCCCAAGTATTTCCCAAGTATAAAAATTACTTAAAGTTAAAAACTTAGTTTTACTTCATTTTACTTAGGTTTAAACTTATATTGCCATTTTGAGTTTTTTAATTGCTTAATTATGTAAATGAGTATTACAATTACTACAGTAAGTATTTCAATTTCTCTCCTTGCATTAGTAAATTCACCATAAATGAATTACTTAAAAAATTATTCAGTAGTTCAAGATTATTTAAATACTTTTGACTTAAAATGAGAAGTACAATTTCTCAATATAAGGAAATCCAAGTAATAATTTTTAAGAGTGATTTGAAATTATGACCCTCCATTTGCATGTTTCCTGGTTGACCTACACAGCATTTTCAACGTGCCGCCAATTGCACTTAGCAACCCAATGGGGCTTAAAATAGGCCTCATTTGTAAGAAAATTGGCATTTTAGAAGAAATGGGCCTCAATTATTCAAAATGGGATTAAGATTTTCACAAAAAGGAAAAAAATATGTGTTCTTTTAGTTCGGTTTTGTATTTTATGTTATATTATTAAAGTAGTAATATATGCAACCACTTTTGAATATGAACCTTCTTTTATGAAAAAATGCATTGTAACAATACAAAGTAAGTGATATGTAAATATCATTGTCGAATTACCTGCTAGGCGTTGCCTATCACATGACCCATCGTACAACGATTTGAACAATCTTTTATGTTGTTCGCTTGCACTAGTATACCAATCTTCTTGACAGTTTACGGGACCTATTACACCAGCTGCCAGGTAACAGACAGATGCCATGGGAACTGACCAGTTCATTTCATACTAAAAAGGAAGATTGAGAAGAAATAATCAAAGGGTTGTAATGTATGTAATTTTGGTCCTTAATTAGCCAAAATGAGATTAATTGTGACCTGCCTACCCTTAATACAGGTTACCATGGTAACCCTTTCTCTTAATCAATTTAAGATGTAGCTATAATATTTGAGCAGCGTATGTGTAATTACATAATCTACATTTTCTGAAAATATGAAAGGGATATGTGATAAAATAGCAAAATGAGAGCATTTTTATCAGAATAAATGGATCGCCCCCTTGTACAATCACCTTAGAAATTCATTTTACATCGTACTACATTTGATGCGTGTTTTCAATTTATTCCTTGGCCAGAATGCCCCTATTTCATTTATCCACCTACCCCTTTAGCACGCCTAAGTAAGAGAGTTCCACCGTTGAACAGCAATTGGGCCTTCATTTCGTTTAAAAAAGGCTGCCAATATGCGGGCCAGTGGGATTCGCTTAAGTTTTGTTTCGATGCAAGGCACTGATCAAAGCTAAAGATACACAAAGCCATTTAAACAAGATTCAGAGATATGTTGACTGCTGCTTTTCCAATGAATATAGACCGGTGTTAATAATATATTAGGAGTCAGAAAGGTCGGCAGAAAGGAGGGGGGAAATTAGCGCAACAGATTTTGGACAGTCATATATTTGATTTTGGCCATTTTCTGAGGATTTAAACAATTGCATATGTTAGGCCAATGCATTACCTCCAGGAAAATCAATTCTAGAGATGATAAAATAAATTCGACTTTGAGACAGGGTAGTTGCAAACAACCCACCCACATGTTTTTTCTGAAATGTTTTCCTAATTTTCGACCCCTTCCATCCCTGCTTTTTAATTTTTCTTGCATCAATATGTTGCATTTTGACACATAGTTAACCACTTTAAAGGAATAAGTGATTCCTTAAGGGGTTTTAAAGATACCCATTATGGGTGACCAAACTTAGCTGAAAGCAATGATTTTTCCTATGGGAAAATAACATGGGAAATATTGTTTTCCACTTTATCTAAAAGGAATCATTTATTCCTTTTAAGGGATTAACTGGAGAGGTTAAGCTTTGCATATATAATCGAAACTGAACCTGTACGTATCACTCGACCATATACAAATTCATGTAGCCTTCTCATATAAATAGCCGTTCAAATCCAGTGTTTGTTTAGACTACACCATAGCGTGTAATGATTCTATAGTATGTCATTGATGCGGTTTTATAGCTGGTTTTCTAATACATATTTTAAACGAGCTCGTTTCGTAAGATTTTTGGCGCTAAATCATGCATGACATACATCATCGTGTTCAGCAAGAATTCAACTGTACATCGAAACCAAAATTGACAGCATAGTGTTCAATAGACACGAGTAAAATGGTTCCCGTTGACCCAACGTCAAATATTCAAATCTCCCGTTCTAAACCCGAAACTCTGAAGCTGAAAGAGTATCTGAAGTAGACTAAGCGCGCATAAAACTATGAGCGCTCGATACATTCCTTTGTTAATTTTTGTACTTTGCGCGCGTTCACGGTTACGTTGTGAAAAACATCGTTAGCTTAACCTCTCCACTGTGTGTCAAAACGCAACGTATTGATGCAAGAAAAATTAAAAAAGCAAGGATGGAAGGGGTTGAAAATCAGGAAAACATTTCAGAAAAAACATGTGGGTGGGTTGTTTGCATCTACCCTGTCTCAAAGTCGAAATTATTTTATCATCTCTAGAAGTGATTTTCCTGGAGGTAATGAATTCGCCTAACATATGCAACTGTTTAAATCCCCAGGAAATGGCCAAAATCAAACATATGATCATCTGTCCAAAATTTGTTGCGCTAACTTCCCTCCTCCTTTGCTGAATTTGTTTCAAACGCAAAGATTAATAGTGTCTAACATAGTTGCCAAACTTTTTGAAGGGAGTGTAAACATATAGAAACTACCATACTAATAAACAACCCACTGACACACAGAGTCCTAAAATAGTGGATCGGGTTATTTAAAAATAGGATTAACATAATCAAATTTTTATTTAAGTGATGATCAATTGCAACATTTTCATATCAGCCGTTATTTGAGAACTGTACCTTTTGAGGGCCCGTGTGCTTTTCTTGATTGCATTTTGCTGCTCATGTAGTGTGAGGGCGGTTTTGGACTTAAGAGCTGCCAGTGCCAAGTGTTGCATGTGAAACAAACAATTTTTCTGCCATTTCTCAACGTTATACCCCTAAAATAGAGTCAGATATTCCAATAAAACAATAAAATGAAGGTCAGTACTTGCAACATTAAGTTCGAGATCTTGAAAATCAAACAATTAAATTAATCAAAAACAATTAAAAGACTAGTTTAACAAGATTAAAAGGTGACAATAAACCGTGATCAATTCTTGGCAAACTAAGTTCATTTCATAATTGTTACCAGTCTCCGAGCCTTTAGTCCAGTGCCATCCATACCTCCTGTGCCTAGGTAGTGAAGGTACGCAACGAACGAAATGGATTTTGAGAATGAATTGTTACCTCGAATACTTCTCCCAGAATCTCGTTCCAGTTTGAAATATCTTTGCACGCCTTTACTTTCTGACCATTATTTGTTATCTCCTTCATTCGTCCCGTCTCTGTGTAAAGTTCCCATAGTCGCATTCGAAGAGCAACATCCTCGGGATGATGGGTCTATGAATGGAAAACATAGCATTAACATTGACAACATGTCAACACCTGAAAAGTATACACCATGTTGTCTCTGTGTTGATATGCCGAACGCCTACGCCGGTTACAAAAATCGGTATATATACCTGTATGTGGCAAAAATGTCACCATTTCTCAATAGTGACTAGATAAAAAGTCGCAAATTTAAGAAAATTTATTTACAATATGTTTATGTCGATTCATCATCAAATCGATGTGTATTTTGCTCTTAAAAAGATGGTGGATCAGAATTTGAACAAAACGAAAGTGAGTAATAATATAACTATGATATATTCTCATAGTCTTGCTTTGATTCAAGACAAATAAAGTGAACAGAAGACCATGACAACATTAGAATACCCCGTTCATCATTTTATATCGAAGGTTTGAGGCCTCACAAATTAACCCCACCTAAAGTCGAAGGTAAGAGTTCGGACTTACCAAGTCTGTAGTGACTTGTAGGATTTCCATCTCTTTAACTTTCGTTCTCTCCTCTCCATTATTTTCTTCTTTGTTATCCTCATGATTGCTATTACGCGGAAATAAAAAACTTAAAAAACGTAAGATATTTTTGATAATAATATCGACTAAAAACATCTCCTTGGTCGTATCTTAGAAGCAATTGTAATCCCAATGTTGATGTTTAGCAAACATTGTACTATTGGATAAAATAGTTAATACATTCTGTTTAAAAAATGATCTTTGTACGGTCTTATCTAACGAACGTGTGTTGCGTTTTAATAAATCATTTTAAGATATATAGATAGTCGACCTTGAACTACTCTCTCTAAAACCTACGATATCCTCTCTAATCTGGAATCTTTGTTCTTCCATTGATTGTAGTATTAAGATATTGATATGCGGTCGCTACCACAGCACGTAACGTGATGTCGGTACGTAACGTCAAAGCAACAAAATGGAGAATTGCGGCTTTTTTGAGAAACCGAATTGCAAACCGCAGGTATATCATTATACCATATACAATTAGCGACTGCCTTTGAGAGAAATAGAGCAAATCGTTTTGATATCATTTCAATATATTGTTACGAGATGCAGATTCCAATATAAAATTCAACATAAAATGCTTGAATGAAGTTCCATATTAATTAAATGTAATGTTCAGGATGAATCCTATTCTATTCTAATGATGAAAAATTACATGATGATTGTATCCTGGTTCTCAGCAGATGCTGATGATTTAATCTTTATGTACAGGGTGTCCCGAAAGTATGCCCCCCCCTAGGCAGACATATTCCAGTGTCCGCATAGTATGTGTCATATATCATTTTAAAGCTTATCCAAAGTTACATTGATTCGCCAAGTATCATGGTTTAACTCCCAAATGGGAAAAAGTTACAGTCATTTTAAAAGTTAGTGTTTTGTCAAAATAAAGTTCAATTTTACACCACATTACTAGTCAATGTGTCCCCCTTGGCCATGTTAACAGCAGCAATTATTTTCAGATATGACCTTAAAAGCCCTTCAAATAGGGGTGTGGACAGATCGTTTTAATTGTAGTTCACTTAGCTAAACAAATAACAATATGGTCGGAATAAATAAATAAATTATAATATAATTAAATGTCATTGTTTTGCTGGGCCTTTTTGTGCGTTGTCCCCTCATATTGTATATGCTAAATCACACTTTAAGAAGTGAAACAATACATATTAGATTTAACATAAAACATTAGATGAATACATTATACATTGGTTATCAAGGAATCAATTTGATGAGACAGTAGTATTATTCTGTAATACTAGTATAACAAAAAGAGCACAATTAAGGAAAAATAAAGTGTCATAAAATATCAGTTATGAAAAATGCCTAGAGTAAAACCTGTCTAGGCCAAATGCCAAAGGGACCTACAATAGTTTCTGGATTAACACTAGAGAAATTAACCATTAAAAGTGTTTAGTATATGTATTATGTATGCGTATATTAGTATATGTAAATCTACATGTATGTAAGATAACAAAATTGGCCCCCAGAAAAACATCCAGATTTCATGTGAGCTAAAAAAAAAATATATTATCTAATTTGGAATGCTACAGAAACTACAGTGACCAAATTAGTTACTTGACTTGTAAAAATAGAAAATATTTCATGCTGTATAATTGGCACATCATTTTTACATTCATAAGATTATTTTGTGATTTGTTTTGTTTCAAAAATAAGTTTAGAATGCAAAGGGTTAACCCTGATATTAAACAACTCCAATAGTAACAAGAAATTTCGCATTTTCATGGTCAACAAACATTGATTCAAACTATTTTCTAGAACTTTTGCATGCGTAATACAGGATACAAGTAGATATAATCTTGATTTCCATCATTAAATATTTGCCCACTTCTGAAATGATTACATAATTTCAATGCCTTTCAATAAAAAATGCTAAACCTGTAGAATTTTGCACCTGCTTTTGCTAATATTTTTTATGTGTAACTATTGATGAGATATGACCTGAGTTTATAAAATGAAGAAACAATTCTGCAGGTTGAGGATCTTTATAAAAAGGCGTTAACACAAAGGAGCAAGGGTTATTTTGAGAAAAGATGAAAAGCATGGCATTCACAATGACAAAATGTCACCACAAAGTTGGAGTGAAAAAATGTAACAATTTGTCACAGATGCCAAATGCCAGTCACAAAATGGTGCCTGTAATGATATGTCACAATTTGGTGGTTGTAACAATATGTCACAATTTGGTGGTTGTAACAATGTCACAATTTGGTGGTTGTAACAATATGTCACAATTTGGTGGTTGTAACAATATGTCACAATTTGGTGGTGGTGACATTACAAATTCAAAATCTTCATGCCATTCCTATCCATTCTGAAAGATAGTAGTCTCTTTTATTAAACTGTTTGTCAAGTTCAGATCCTGGTCTTGGATATCCTGTGAAATAGACTGTAGTCCCACCAGCTAAATATGCCGCCCACCATCCAAATGAACCTTGCGTCATTATCATATGATCCATACTAGCCAATAGGGCGAAGTCATCGATCGCAGATGTTGATGATACAAACGTCACATCCAAGGATTCTGGGATATTTAAACGAGCCCATGAATGATCATCCGTGCATATAAAGAATCTATGTGATTGAAATTGTTCTCTCATATATTTCATAGCTTTGTGGATGTAATCGGCAGTCGCTACGACATAACCATAATCCTTGAAATAATCTTGTAAGAAATCTCCTCGACGAATATGAATGCCAATTTTAGTCACTCCTTTTGGATCATTCCGTACAACATTTTGAATATATTTCTCGGCTGCATTCTTAATTTCTGGTTTAAATGTATAATGCTCTTTGATTGTATTTCGAATGTGATTGAAATAACGCCAAGATTGTAAATAGGACTCGTCAATATATGTATCCGTGTCAAATTCTTGGGTTCTTGCGTCGTAAGTATTTGAAAGATTTTCCTTGAAATAAATGTACCTTCCTAAATGATGGTAACTGCGGCCTCCTTTTTTGGCCTTAAGTTCAAGAATATCCCACAGAGAGCAGTCAGGCGGAACAAACGGCTCCATATTGGTTGAATTTGCAATTCCAATCAATGAGGCATAAAGAAAGAGGTGATTACCCATCCTGCCTTGGAAAAATGCTGATATGTGATTGTGGGAAATTCCCACTGGTGTTGGCATTTTGTATTCAGGTTTCATCAAAAATTGAAGCTCCAGTAAAATACATAAAGTGAATGCCATGAATGACGTCAGGGCAAAGTATCTAAACCCAAGGTAATTGTTAAACTGCAAATAATTTGGCATATTTTCTGCCATTATTGTCTCTAACTAATAATGGAATGTCTTTAAATGTGAAATTTTTCACATTTTGATTCACATGGAATGTTTATGTATCACAGTTTTGGTTCAATGCACATCAGCTCAAATTCTTTGTCTTGATATCTTACTGTGTTTTCTGTCCATTATTTGCCTTCCTATTGGAGTCATATAGTATATCAAAAAATAGTAACTATTTATCACAATTCTACAGTTTCACATTTTTCCACTTAACTCACACTGGTTTCACATTTTGCTGATTCACATTTTCACATATGTCTGAATATAACTTTTCACATTTTCATACTGGCTATCCATCATTCCTCTTTAATATTGAATACAAATTTTCAAACTCTCCTATCACAGCAAAAAGTAAACTTTGAGACATTGCTTATGTCCATTTTTTAAACTTTGTTTACATTGCCTCGCTTTTCTAATGAAACTTAACATTTGTTCCATCAATGAGCTGTTTCGTATTCATCAAATATCTCTAGTTATTTTTGGTAACATTGATCCATTCACTGTATTTATAGTCCACAATATTTTGAAGAAATATCGAAACTTTTCTTGTTTTTTTCTCATCAAATTCATTTGAACTCTGTAAGTTTATGAACGTTGCACACAGGTGTCGATGAATCCTTTAAATGTTCACTTTACTACATACATGACATAGTCACAAATATGTATGGCATGAGAATCCAATAATTCACTGAATGCATGTTATGAAGTTGTATCCTTAAATAGAAGTCCCAAATATGTATGGCTTGACCATTTAGTAGTTCATTCCTATTTATCTTCTTCGATCCAACTTTCAGCTATGCAATACTATTTTCCAATAAATTGGTCAGCCATATGATGCAGATTCATTATCTCTCAGCTGGATCTGCAATTATAACAATATTCAGATTAAATTTTACAATTCAACATGAGCTTATTCTGATTGGAGTTCATTGGTTTTGTTTCTTATCAACTAAATGTATGTACAGGGTGTCTATAAAGCCATTTTACATTTTACACAGACTCCGCAAATTGTAAACAAATTCTATGGACACCCAGTATATATTTTGAAGTTTTCGATAATTCTATCTCAATTCCAATTATGATTAATCATACTAGTTCTCATCTAGCAGAGAATGGTTTCTTTAAAATAGTACATCCCTTATCCGCACACTGAAATCATGGTCCCATATACAGTACCGTACAGTACCGTTTTCGCCGTACCATACGGTATATTAAGAGTGTGGTACCGTTAGAGATTGGCTGTGTAGTAAATGCAAATATTTGTTTCATATAGTAAAATAGTTTCCTAAAGTAATATAATAAACATATAGTTTTAATATTATCCAAAAATGATATAAGGAACCGTGGTGTACTCAACAGAAAATTCAAATTGTCTAAAACAGTGACTGGCAGTGTTTTCATTTGAGAATAAGATGCACAATGCCTGTATGCACATAAGTGTTCTCCTCAGGAATTCTTCTCAAGTGGGTGGAAAATTCTAATTTTCACAATTTAGACCGAAATTGGGTCAATATGCCCATTTTTCATGATTTTTCTCATTTTCAAGTGGAAGCGTTTTTAAAAAATTCAGGTGGGTGGTGCGAACACTTGCTTTAACACTGGGGAGATCACTGCACATAATGGAAGAGCTTTTCTTAAGCTAATCATGGTGATTGAAATATCAGAAATATTTATCCTTCTGATCAGGATTATATCCTCACAAAAGTGAAACAAGGCATAAACATGACAAAATGTCACCACTAGTAATTAACAGTTGTAAGAATTTTGGTTAAAGACGCCAAATGCCAACAGTCGAACGTCATCCTCAAACAAGTGTGTAACAGACATTGTGACATCCTCAGATCACAGGGCTTCAAAATCCAGAATATATTCTTTCTTTTTACCCCCCGCGATAAGCAGTTAGCATTTCCCCGATTAAGAACTCGCAATCTGATTGGCTGTCACAACACTGCGACAGAAATCATGTATAAGTCATTGCGCATAATTAGATCATGTGATTCATTTAAATCGGGCGCTTACAAATTAGTTATAGCAGGGGGAAGAAGGATGTACAGATTCTGGAAACCTGCTTAGGAGGATGGTAACGGAGAGTGTAACAGTATGCCACCATTTCTGCAATAAAAGGAAAGAATGACAAAAATGACACAAATGTTAATTTCAGTTATTGTATGAGATTTTATTTCACTTTCTTACAATCAAATACTCTTTCACACATAGCTAAGCAAGGTGTGTCCAATTCCAGCCAATCCGAACAGAGTATTCACATAATGAACAGTGTGTGAAATATCAATAACGTATTTGTTGTGTACAGTTGCTAAGCGATTGAGATTGAAATTGAGTTCTCCATTACTTGACCGTTGCAAAAGGTTTCATCAAAAATATGTTCTTTTAGGTATTTTGTATCTTTTAGCCAATTTTATAGAAAATATTTTGCAATGTGTGAAAAGAATTTAAGCCCAAGACTCAATGCATTGTGGCTGCTTCATTCCACTCAGATGTTGTTTCCTAAACTTTGCATTCCGCTGCGGGATCATGCAAAGATTTGGAAACAACATTTTTGTGGAATGGTTCAGCACACAATGCACTGAGTCCAAGGCTTAAATCCTTAAACAACAGTATGAAAACCATCTGGTAAAAGCCAGGATAGGATTCCACAATGAATTCATATACTGGGTGCTGTCAATGTACAATTAAATAGGAAAAGAACCACCTGGCTGCCATAACAAAAGTATGATCATGTGTTACAGATGCTGATACCAATACAAAAATGCCAATTACAGTGAGAATTGTTTACCAGGTTTTCACATATAATGTCTTGGGTGTCTGAATAAAAGTTTCCGAACATTTTTAATTGTAATTAAGATGCATTGGTATTAGTCTTGTCTCAAGACCCAGGACAACCCCCCCCCCCTTATTTAAAACGGACCTATAGTTGAAGTATTTGGGGGTTGTGAGGCAAGACTACATTGGCATTATTTAAACATAAAATAACAAATGAGCATGCTATTTGAAAATCAGTGTAATTTTACAAGTTTTGTTTTCTGGCGTAAGCTAGGTGAATATTACATTGGACCCTTGTTTCATTGTGGAGCTTATTATTGCGATAACATCAAACAGTCAATAAAAGATGTATATATCATTTTGTTAACACTTATAATATTCAGAAACAGTCAAAAATGAGCAGTTTGGTTCATTTATCTAAGGCATAAAATTTCTTCAGTCGTTTTATCCACTCATTCCAGTAGTCATGGCAGACCTTCAGAGACATCTGGTGAACATTTGCTGGTTTCCCATCTTCATTAGCTACCACCAATAAACCCTCATGAATATTAATGAGATAATTAGGGTCAAAGTTCACTGCTCCAACATACGCTACAATCTGGAGCGGATTATCAAATGTATCACGTAACTGAGGTTTTGCTTTCTTAGATGTTTTCCAATCGATTAAACAAAGAGTTCCCTTATACTTGGCAACACAGTCAAAAATCCCATGGTATTGAAGAATAGGATGTGTCACATGGCATTCCGTCTTAACGACATCATCGATATTTGGAAAAACATGACGCAGGCTTTCCCAATGTCCTTGGTTTGCTTCGAGAACTTCTATATCAGATTCTGGAGTGCCATTCATCAGACTTTCGATAGAGCTATGAAAATTATGACCATTTCTAAAAATTGTACTTTTATACTCCTTAAATCCTTCCTCTCCTAACTGAGCGATCATTTTTTTCTCCCACTGTTTGAGATTATATCGACTTTGGGCCGACATTGTGTCATTGATAATCTTACTGACACTCGGAAGTTTATGATGTATTTCCTTATATGGTAGTGTTTCCTCAGGTGCGGTGGATTCATTTACAAGTGGGTAGAACTTTATCAAGTTAATCCAATTGGTGAAATTGATATCACTGTTATTATTTCCAGAATCACCAATGGGAGCATCCTCCAAGGAAGGCCTGTCGTCTGTTGCTGGCTGTTGAGACAAACTAGGATCAATGGTGTTATCTGCGCTTATGGAAGAATATTCTCTCTTTGTTGCGTTATCATCATCAGCCTTTTTCATTTTTTCATCAAGTAACTTTTTGTATTTTCTTACTTTATGGGGTGGGAGTTTTTTACCATGTAATGCATTCATAGCAGATTTATATGACTGTATTTCCTGGACTGTTTTCCATTTCCACATTTTCTTTTCACTGTCAGAATCTGAATTATGTTTGACTGTTTCAGTACGAAAGGCATTTACATGTACAGAGTAACAAAAGCTTGGACGAATCAAACTCAGACTTCTATGTCTTAACCCCATCATTGTCATATTGTCTTGCACCCTGACCTTGACCCACCAGTGACCTTGACCCACCAGTGACCTTGACCCGCAATCAGAGTTCTGCAAACATAAAATAATAATTCCAGTTAATCTCTAGTCAAAGTAATTGCAGAATCAGTATCGCCACTTTGGAATTTCTATTACACTCATCTTATTAAGAGTTCATATCGCATAATAACCCTTATTATCGGATTCCAGCTGTTAGTAGTATTAATTTGAATAAATTAAAACTGAGTAGTACAGCTGAGTGGACATGCATATGCACCGATAACTAGGTCTATTTTTGCTTAGCTGCCAACGGAAACACACCTTTGTAAGAGACTAGGCTAGTTGTACATAGCTGTAAATAGCACATGGATTTTAGTTCAGATGATCTGCTTGATTTGTTGAATTTTTTCAACAGTTTTTGGAACTTTTATTTACTAGATGTCTAGTCTAACTACATTTGTTTGGACTTATGAACCATTACGGCCCCTAGTGCTCCTGAAATAATGTACTTGGACAGGTAGGGAAATGTTATGATTTTTCAAGATGGATTTTTGAATACTGAAGGTCTAAATGACCATGGTCTATAATGACCACAGTCCAGGTCTAAATGACCACATGTTAGGTAAGGTCTAAATGACCACATTTTAGGTCTAAATGACCACAGTTTAGGTCTAAATGACCACAGTTTAGGTCTGAATGACCACATGTTATTTCTAAATGACCACATTTTAGGTCTAAATGACCACAGTTTATGTCTGAATGCACACACCAAAGGTCCAAATGACCAAAGTTCAAGGCCTATAAACCAAAGTTTGACCAAGGTTCAAAATGAGCCGCCATCAGAATAATAGTCATATTAGAGGTCATATTACAGTTTCAGCGAGCATATCCAATTGCATAGCCTCATAGTAGGTTCAAATTAATAGAATCATTTTGTTTTGATTCAAGTTCTAGTAATCTAGTGCTTATAGATTCATGTTCTGTTTATCAGCGGTTTATATGTTCAATATGTTTGACTCAGTTTTTGAGGAGAACAAGTCTGAATTGAAGATAACAGACAATGAGACAAGCATGTAAAATCTGTCCATAAATTTTGGTCAAAAACATTATCCTAGTAGTTATCAAAATATGAAGAAAAGGCTAGAGTAAGCTATCTAGATAAGTAAATGAACTTAAAATGTTCCTAGTCCCAAAGCAGGTAGAAATCTACAATCGCAAAATGGGAAAATGGCCTATATGCAATACTGGTAATGTGTGTCACATGGACTTTCTGAAATAAAGCTCCTTATCCATGGAAATCGGGTTAACAGCCCTAGATCAAATGACAATACTTGTACAATATTTTGATCAAAACAGCTATTGTTGCTGAACAAGGATTTCCCATAACCAACTACTGTAGTTGAAACAAGCTTCATGCTTCAAATTTTCAATTTGACAAGAGTGAATTGGAGAATTTTCTGTCTTCATACCTAAAACCAAAAAGAGAATACCCCAAGCTGGGCAAAATAATTGTTTGGTGATGAGTCAACAAAAGCTTTGAATTTTGTCAAAGACATGGAAATATAGTTTTCTAGATCAAAATCTTTTAATAGATTATAAATACAAGTATTTGACAGCCTTTTTGAATAGGCCAATGAAAGCAGAAACTGTCAGCTGGCAATAGCTATACAGCTAGAAGTCACGGCAAACAATGTCATTATAGACGACGTCGCTCCAGCACAACTTACGCTGTAGGAAAATCCTGTCCAATGACAGGTACATCAATTTTATTCTAAAAATCACCAAAATGGATCTAAAAAAGATGAATGTTTTGACATAACATCAGATCTAGAAAAACAATCTGGAAGTTCACTAAAATAGAAACTTAGGTAAATTACATATATTTTTGAAGTTTCAAAGTCACCTACATAGAAATATGAAGTATGGTCAAGGCTACCAGAGATTCTGAGAAATGATAACAATTTAGCTTAAGTTTTTCTAAATGGAAAGCAGCTTTAATATTTCTCAAAACTGCGATTTTAAGCAATCTGATGTTTTGTCCATCCTTTAAAAACAGGAGATTATATGCAACATAAAGCAAAGTCAAGCATAGATCATTTTCTGTGTCACATATTGTTACAGGAGAAAGAGGATTGTTCCCAGAGACTCGTTCTCAATCTAAACTCTAAATTTTAAATCTAAACCTTAACCATTTAGCCTAGTTGGTATGAATATTTCAAAATGGAAGACATGGTACTCTAACATGAGATGGCCAAACGATTACCGATGGTGAAAGTCCATGCTAAGGATGCTTATATAACCATAAGCATACATTCGAGGCACAGGAAATATCTCCGTTGAATGATATAACATCATTTGGGATCATTACTATGGACCTTGCTTCCCTCAAACTCGTGAAAATACCATAAGCGCTATTGTGGAATATTTAATTTGGTTTTGAATATTTTATTGATTCTCTGATGTCATTAACCTCTCGCCTATCTGCTTCATATGAACATGATTTCAAGTTAGTGAAATATTTGTTTCAAACTGAAGTTTCTGATAAATGGGGAAAAGCCTATTGTTGAATTTTTTCCATCATAAAATGGAGCTTTGTAGTTTTGTGATCAATACAATTGAGATGAACTTTAAGGCCTTAATAGAAATGATAGTTTCTATCAAAATTCTCGCAAAGACTTTGTAGAGATAGAATCAACCCTAGTCAGTAATCCAGGTAATCTTACTCAAGCTATTGAGACACTTTTGAATTGTACTTTAGTCTGTAATCTGTATATTGAACCTCTACATTTATTGACACTTGCAAAGGTCAAAGCAGTCCTACATGTATTCATTGATTGCCAAAATAACTCACAAAAAAATGAATATAAAATTTGATAGTGATTGGTCCAAGAAGTCGAAATTCAGAATACTAAACATGTAATAGTGTTATCCGAATCAATAATTACAATAACAACAAAAAGCAGCCTGTTTGGCTAAAGTTCAAGTCTAACGGGACAGTAGCTTAGGGGAAATAGATTAAACAAAAAAAATTGTTTCATATGAATGAAAGCCATGGATATGGTAGTGAAAGTATTCACAAAAACTTAGACAATGTTATATAAAAGTAACAACAAAACCACGATGACATTATGTGAACAAAATGTGGGGAACGAAATGGCTAGAAATGTTAAAAGCAATGCAAGATCGTTCAGATACCTTTGCCAGAGATATCATTATTACCGTATAATATCTTCCAAGGAATCCAGAATTGAATGTCAGATCAAACCTAGAGAAATCTCTCGATGCATCAAACTAGAAATAAGATTGCGAGATTTTTCCAAATTGAAAGTTTTAAGGTCCAAATAAATAGATTTTGTCGACCGGTAGAAAATTAATATTTCAGGTGGAAACTAAACCCAGAAACTCTGGAAGTTGACATATTTATTCAGAATAAACAGTCAAATAACTTTCCTCCAATTTCTTAAATCAGCCGATTACTGGTTAAAGTTAGACAGAAAAAATACACAGATAGCTCTCATAGACCCAATGTGGCAAATGGCTCTGCGGTATCTATAATTGTTGGAAATGTTGGTCTGTATGCCCATCTTATTGCCAAACCATATGAAATTACTCATATCTAATCTTACAGCCTTAATAAAAAAAAGCTAGATAACACTAACAGTGTCCAAATTATCATCCTCAAGTTTGAAACTAGAGGTTTCTGCGACAAACTGGCAATGTATGCTCATTAAATCAAGTAAAGAAAGTACTTAAATTACTTCCAAGAACCCCTGGAAAACATGGGTATGCTGCAAGTTCTAATAAACATGACATTATTATTTAGCCTCTGATACAAATTTAGCCAATTTCCTAACTGAAATGTCAAATCAGGTAATGTGCTATTCGTTTCTCAATATTTAACGTCTGCAAAATCAGCATATAATGGAACCATAGATAGTCATAGGTAAGTCAATACCATGTTCTTGTTGATTTTATGGAAACTTTTACAATGGAAACCCACTAAATAAAATAAATGAAACTTGGGATGTGAATAAGGTTGTACTGTATCTCACATTGAACATTCGGGTCAGATTAGAAATCTCAACTGAAAGTACACAATTAGTCATGTAATGTCTATTTCAATTGGATGGTTGTCAAAGACAGAATGTCAACACATAAAATTGGGGTTCCAAGTTGTTTTCTTGAGAATCCATTTATAATGATGTTGTACTAGCATTTAGAAAATACCAGAAACATCTGAAACAAACTACTAGTAGTAGAAGGGAATCATAAGAAGGAAGTTTAAATTATCCTTGTCAAATGTCATGCGATGCCATGCGTGTACATATCCAGTAAAACATCTCATGTACATACACATTAGCAGTTTCTATAACAATACATAAAGGTTTTAATTTTATAGAATAATAATAATAGAAAGATATTTATAAATACATTTAAGTACATTTGAAAGACATATTTACCAGGTATGCAGTAACAGTACCATAAACTTGAACATTGGACATACCTACAAACCAAGTCATGGGAAATGCAAATTAACTGAATGCTCAATTTTACAAACTGATAAAGGAAATTAAAGGATTTAGATCAGTTGTTCTGAGGTTATTTTACTTTAAACATGCGATATGAACTCTTAATAAGATGAGTGTAATAGAAATTTTACAATTTCTTAAGAATCTCGCTAATGAAATTATAATTTTATTAACGAGATCTTATTAAGAGTTCATATATTCCCTCCTCGCCCACCCAGTCGTTAATTGTCACTAAAACACAGTTTTGTGTTATTTCAGAACATAACCACAGACAACTGAGTTACATGTATGATTGTATGAAGGATAGAATTAACATTCAACAATCTTCATCAAGTCAAATATGATGTATCTGCATTTTTACACTCTCAAAGTTGTAATGAAAATTTTTAAAGTTTTAAAGTTTAAATCTCACAAACAGTGATAGGTTTATATCCTATAAGTACACAAGGACTTTATTTTAACTTTGCATCCCACAAAGATTTAGGGATAAATTGGACATCTCACAAGCAGTGGATGTAGTTGTTTTCTTTGTCAAAGAATTCACTGAAGTTTACTCATAGTAAGGTGAGTTTTCAATGGCTTCAGATTATTAAGTTGGCATCTAAGC